ACAAAATGAACAAATCTGAGAGAGGTCCACATGTAGTACCTATATATGTAATATCAAAGCAATTGCACTTGCGGTTTTTAACAAGAAGTCGAAAATATCAGTTTTTACCAAAAATGACAAAAATATTCACCAAAATTAGAGAATTAAAGATATCATTACAAAATGAACAAATCTGAGAGAGGTACACATGTAGTACCTATATATGTAATATCAAAGCAATTGCACTTGCGGTTTTTAACAAGAAGTCGAAAATATCAGTTTTTACCAAAAATGACAAAAATATTCACCAAAATTAGAGAATTGAAGATATCATCACGAAATGAACAAATCTGAGAGAGGTCCACATGTAGTACCTATAGATGTAATATCAAAGCAATTGCACTTGCGGTTTTTAACAAGAAGTCGAAAATATCACTTTTTACCAAAAATGACAAAAATATTCACCAAAATTAGAGAATTAAAGATATCAACATGAAATGAACAAACCTAAGAGAGGTCTACCCAAGGTACATATATACCAAGTATCAAAGCATTTAGGCTTGTAGTTTTCAAGAAGAAGTCGAAAAAGTAAAACATTGACACGGACGACGACGACGACGACGGACAATCACTCATATGATAAGCTCCGCTCGACAAAGTCGACAGCGGAGCTAAAAAAGTAAAAGCTACACAACCACCACTTAGTGGTGCTAGGGACACCAATAACAATCACACAAACCTGGAGGTCACTAAAAACAAACAAACATCACTGCTTATAACAGAATCAAACTGACAACCGACATGATACAGCATAGCAACAGTTCAAATATAATAACGTCTACTAATCAAGGCAAGAATTGTATAAATGCTATCGCTATCTAGAAGAGGAAGGGGGGGGCACATCATGGGGGAAAATGACTGTCTGATGTTAATACGACTCCATGCAGCTGGGAACAGTATATTATATTAGAGCTGCAATCCACAATCACAGTTTGTTTTGAGCAAATCTAGTTGGCTAGCTAATTGGATTGTTACTTGTACATTTGCTTCTAATGACCTGTGCTAAGGTCATTAGGTAGCCAGATTGCTTCTATGATTACATGCCCATTACCGGGATTTGTATAGCAATCATAACATTCTACAATCATCGACAAATGCACTCTTATTAGCCCACTAATAGAGGTATATTAATTGTTTCATGTTTACGACATTGGCTTCACTCTCAAAACACTTCAACCTCCCACAGACGAGGAGGACGCCGACGACGCCAGCCAGCCAGTCAGAAAGCTTGTAAAAGCAAAGATACATCCTCCAATGTTTTAAGGATCTAAAACGTCTTCCTTGTCATCGATTCAATTGATCTTTAATTATGTGTGTTCAGGTGTGCCAGGCGGAATTGTCGGAGCAGAATCAGATACTTTGCCACTCGTGTGATATTCCTCAGGTTTCACAAATT